CTATGCTTGCTTAGAGGAAAAGTCATCCCTCCGTATCCAGGTAGCGTCTCGTGGGAGGTGAGGGATGATGGCCGGTTTACTACCAGTACTCCAGGTGCAAGCTCCGGTGCGGGGCCAAGGGTATGGGGGAGGAAGTGGGGGGAAGTAAGGCACATCATGTGAGTAGCAGGTGTCAAGAGGGGGATGGGTCCAAGTTGAGGAGGGTGTGACGGGGGTTCGTTGGGTGGGGTGTGCGGTTAGAGTTGCAGTCTTTACTCAAGATCCCATAATGGTACCGTATTCAGTTGTTGTGGTGAAATAGTACCACGTGGTCGCGAATTTGGACGAGGTACCTTTTATTGAACTTGTGGTGCGAATGTCGTTTATTTTAGTGAACCAGAGTTTGAGTGAAGGTGGGGCCTCCTGTTTCCACAGCAGTGGTATACAGGCACGCGCCGCATTCAGTAAATGTACCAGCACTGAGCGTGAATACCCCTTTAAGGAGGATTATGGTGCAGTAGGAAGAACGCTGGGTCCTCCGGGATGTGATGATCTGTGAATTTCTGGGAAATCCGCCTTACCTGGGACCAGAAGGGCATCAGTCTCGGGCAGGACCAGAACATATGGAGCATGTCCGCAGGGGAGGACCCGCACCTCCAACATACATCAGGGACCCCATCATACATCTGATGAAGTCTGTGGGGAGTTCTATACCAGCGGGTTAAAACCTTGTTCCCCCGATTCCTGGTATTTGTTACAAATTGACGACTTCAGGGAGAGAGCCGTAGCAATCTGGTCAGTTCATCCTGCGAGAACTGGACCCCCAACTCCCTCTCCCATTGTCCCAGGAAATGAAGCGGCAAATCCTGGTCTGCCTCTATGATTAGTTTGTAGCACAGGGATAATGTCTTGGTTAAGGGTCCCTCGTCCAGGCAGGTGCGTTCAAAGTCAGATGGGTCACCTCGGGTGGTCCCACGCATCGGTCCTAGCATAAGTAGAGCCCATCTGTACAATAACATCATTGCAGCATTAATAAACAATCACAATTCAGTGATATGAACCATGGAGTTCTGCATCCAGGGGCTATCAGATGGGTGATGGTAAAAGCTGTGAACCAACACAGTGGTTCCGTACGGCCAAACCTGTCGTGGGGGGGGACCCTGAGGGTGATATGCGGCTCCTCGGATGTCCAGGGTGAGCGGGCAGTTGGCAAAGTAGCGTTGGAACCGAAAAGGCCCCAAGAGTCATTGGTTGGGTCAGAGGGGGTAACCACTGCTGTTCGTTTCTCAAGGGACCAAAGGGGACATAGGGTCATGGCCGCAGCACAAAAGGGAGTGTGAGTGGTTGGCTGGGGGATACATGGATCAATCTCACCCCGGGATTCCGCTGCTTCCATCACGTCTTCAGTTGGTCGGGCAGGATTCTCGTGAGAAGGGGAGCGACGGGCTCGTCGGGTTCTGCAAGGTTTCGGCGCAGAGGCCTGGTCCTCCGGGAAGAGGACTAACCAGTCCGGTAGTTGCACAGCAGGGATGCCGAGGAACTCACATACAGCAGGTACATCTGCTCGGGAGCGAACCAGGAACATGGCGTTGCCTTTGCGGACATGCAAACGAATGGGGTATCCCCAACGGTAGATGGCTCCGGCCCGCCGTATCTCTTCCAGAAGAGAACGCATGAGGGCCCTGCGGCGGAGGGTATTACGGGAGATGTCCGGCAGGATCTGCAGAGGGGCCCCGTCGAACTCCACAGGCCGTTTCAGCCAGGCCTGTCGTAGAACCTCCTCCTTCACGGTGAAGCGGTGGAGACGGCACAGGACGTCTCGCGGATGGGAAACATTTGTCGACGGAGGGCCAGCCGTGCGGTGCACCCTGTCTATAAGGATGGAGTTCGGTGCCGAGTCGGGGAGCAGCGATCCAAAGATGGCCTGGACCGAGGAGTGGAGATCCGCTGGTAGGGTCGCCTCAGGAAGCCCCCGGATCCGAATATTCTGGCGTCGGTTGCGGTCTTCCAGGTCCTCCATTTGTAGTTGGAGGGCCGCGAGCTGGTGTGAAGGTCCCGGCTGGGCCTGTTCGAGGCGTTGGATCCGGGCCTCCATCGCCGCACAAGACGCCGAAACTGTGGAGACCTCTGCGGACACCGCCTGCACCTCCTGGCGCATTTTATGCAGATCCCGTTGTAGCGCCGTCTCCACTCTCGTGACCAAGGCCGCAAAGTCTTCCTTTGTAGGCAAGTATTGCAGGAGGGCCCGGAACACTCGTGGTATATCCGATGGGTTGCAGGCTTGGTAATGATCCCCATCCGTGGAGTCTGATTCATATATCCGTAACGAGCGGGAGCCTGGACGTCGGGTATTGGTGCCAGGTGAGGGAGAGCGTTCTGTGCCTCGTGTTGAGGATGGCAGCCCGGCTTCCGGCGCCATATTGGATTGGCCCTGGCTGCGGGTCCTGGTCTGTGTAGAAAAGAAATAATCGCTACAAGGACGAGGTGTTCCGCTGCGACGGGGTTCCGCCATCCTTCCTCCGTTGTGACATTGTCGTGCAGGACTGTATGGGCTGGTATAAGTGCCGTTAGGTCGTCTGTATGTCGGGTGGACCACGGAGCGCTCAAGCTTTGCGACCTACTCCGCCATTTAGCAGGACACGCCCCCCAACCCCATCTTTTATATGTTACAAAAAAAAATGGGTATAATATTCTGTTTATGTACTAAAAATCATTTTAGTGTATTTTATCCTAAAAATATTGGCTTGACAAATATTTGTGCAAATATTATGCAGCATAACAAAATGGCAACTAGCAGTTCTTTTTTTATTCTACAGGGTCGTTGCTTTAAAAAAAAAAACTTGTTTGGGGGTATTCAGCAGTTTTCTAGCCAAAAATGCAGATTTTAGCATGTGTGTGCAAAAATGAAGACATTGCTAATAACAATTTCATTTAAATGTTTCAGGTGTTTCTTTATAGGTTGAACAAATCTATTGAACAAAATAATATATAAATAACATATGTGTGTGTGTGAGACAGACAGATAGGCATCCCAGTCTTAGTCCATAGGGTTCAATATTGAGTTGGCCCGCCCTTTGTCGCTATAACCGCATCAGCTCCTCTGGGAAGGCGTCCACAAGGTTTAGGAGTGCGTCTATGGGAATGTTTGACCATTCTTCTAGAAGCGCATTTGTGAGGTCAGGTACTGATGTTGGACGAGAAGGCCTAACTCGCAGTCTCCTCTCTAATTCATCCCAAAGGTGTTCTATCAGGTTGAGGTCAGGACTCTGTGCAGGCCAGTCGAGTTCCTCCACCCCAAACTCGCTCATCCAGGTCTTTATGGACCTTGCTTTGTGCACTGGTGCGCAGTCATGTTGAAACAGGAAGGGGTCATCCCCAAACTGTTCCCACAATGTTGGGAGCATGAAATTGTCCAAAATGTCTTGGTATGCTGATGCCTTAAGGAGTTCCCTTCACTGGAACTAAGGGGCCAAGCCCAACACCTAAGGAACAACCCCACACCATAATCCCCCCTCCACCAAACTTTACACTTGGCACAATGCAGTCAGGCAAGTACCGTTCTCCTAGCAACCACCAAACCCAGGCACGTCCATCTGATTGCCAGACAGAGAAGTGTGATTCATCACTCCAGAGAACACGTCTCCACTTCTCTAGAATCCAGTGGTGGCGTGGTTTACACCACTGCATCCGACGCTTTGCATTGCACTTGGTGATGTAAGGCTTGGATGCAGCTGCTCGCCATGGAAACCCATTCCATGAAGCTCTCTACGCACTGTTGTTGTGACAATCTGAAGGCCACACGAAGTTTGGAGGTCTGTAGCTATTGACTCTGCAGACAGTTGGCGACTTCTGCCCACTGTGCACTTCAGTTTGCGCTGACCGTGCTCTGTCATTTTACGTGGTCTACCACTTCGTGGCGGAGTTGCTGTTGTTCTCAGTTGCTTCCACTTTGTTATAATACCACTAACAGTTGACCATGGAATATTTAATAGCAAGGAAATTTCACGGAACACCTGAATCCAGTGATTTGGAGGGGTGTCCCAATACTTTTGGCAATATAGTGTATATAGATTATATCTATAGATATATACACACACACACACACACACACACACACACTATATATACACACATACATACACACAAATTAGGAACGAAAGACCATTTCCTTTGGAGAAACAGCATCAGGGGGAAAAAAAAATAAAACATGCACAGAAAAGCAGCAGACTCATAGCATGCTTCTCCCGTGGAGTTGCTCAGTCCTTTGGGTGGAGGGATGGGATGCTAATGAACCAGTGTAACAGTCTGCTGGCTGCATTCAGCTCCGTCCAATGGCAGCCAAGCTCTGTCTCATCCACACAGTGCTGAGCAATCGACACTGAGCTGCACAACAGACTCCGACAGCTTCTCATACAAGAAGGTAGGTGCATGAAAACCCACATCTTGCCTATGTATTTCATCAGAACACGCTGGCATCTGCAAAAATCTTCAGCATTTTAACCTGGCTGCAATGTGAACCTGCTGTGGAGACCGTGACATGCAATATTAAGACTGCAGGCAGAACATGGACCCTGTCTTTCTTAGCATGGCTCACGCCCCATTCTGTCAGGCATTCAAACATTTAAAGATTTCCAGGCTCTTTGAGTTCATCATAAATGCTATAGAGCTGTAGAAAATAGATGGCTGAAGGAATCTCTTTTTAGCTCATAGCAGATTGCCAGCATTGCTGAGCTTTTACATTAGCTCATCATTTGACAGCCTCCTCTAATTTTGTGTATTTAGGCTGTAACTGCTGGATGATTTTCCTGTTACATTTCAGAATCTACTATTACAGGCACTTCTTGTTTTGCAGCAAGAGTCAGCAAATGAGAAAAAAAAAATCAATAGCAGATATTGATATAATGCAAAACCTAATCTGCTTTGTAGCACGACCCAAAATCCTGTTTACCCTTTGACCTTTCTTTGTACTCGCAGGTCATATCTAGCTTGCCATTGGTGCATCACAATTGCATAGTCATTCCCTGGTGAGCATCATGATGACTTGTCATGTTATTCAGCAGCATTTCACTGATGCCTCCTCTGTGTTGTCCCACAGACCGAAGGCTAATAGCTGTACTTCACCATACTTTATTTGGTAGAAGGACACCATATCACAAGAATTACACGAGGTGACAGAACCAGTAGCTTGTTATGCTAAAAGAGTAAAATAATAAAATGTCTCTGACAAATACAGACTACTTAAAAGGGGAATGTGGTTGCATTCAGCTGACCATACATGTTACAATATCATGTATAACCCCCAGCTTCTATGTAGTGCAAGGTTCTGGCTGACTGGGCACAAATTGATTGTATAGGTAGGTGACTCCATTATGCATTTGGTGAATCTGAAGATCGTACAATCTAATTGTAATGTATATGGCTAGCTCTAAATATAGTAAATTGCCACTTGGACTGTAAAGCAGGCAACTAGAAATTTCCCCACATAGCTTTACATTATTTCTCATCATTCCTGGAGCCCTACACCATATAAATCTAAATCAGAGTATAGAATGCTAAACTCTGATCTGCCCCTAATGTAACTTTCTCTTGGTTGCTAAATGTAATGCACCGACAATAAGGTGGGAGGGGGCAAGCCAGAGGTCAACTTACCAAATTCTGGTTTGTATTAACATAATTAAAAGGGCCTGTGTCGATGGTATTAGTTTGATATGCTTCAGAGATCATTCAAAATTCACTGTCAGGTGCATTTGACCTGCAGTTACTCTCCTTTTGACTGGCTTCAAGAGAGTTTTGCATTACCATAGATTTATATAGGAATGCAAAACCAACTAGAAGTGGACAAAAGTCCAACGACACCGGCCCTTACGGTTCCAGGTTCTCAAGTTCCTGGGGTGCTCAAGAAATGCAAAGCTCTGGGAACACATGTCCACAGCTTTCTATGTTTTAACCACTGTGACATTTTTTAAAAGGGACTCCATCATGAAATGACACATCCGTGTATCAAGGCAGATAGCAGAAGCAGATGTTCCCCGATTCATATGTAAAATACCAGTTCTAGGGCAGTAAAGCTAAAGATGATCTCCAAAGCTAAAGAGTGACTTCCATGCAAATTGTTAGTGGCACCCAAGTCAAACTGAGGCATTCATGAGAGCTCTACCACACAGATTTACGGTCTAATTGTCTATACAAAACCTGTGTTTGTTGGAGTAACTATTTATGCAGGGGATAGGACTTCTTATTCGAGCAGGAACTTACACCACAAGGATTGGAAGGATTAAGGAATTGTTGGAAGTGTCATGTCAGCGCCTCATCTGCTAGATGTTACTTTTAAGGGTTTCATTGATTTATCTGGGTCTCGAAGCTTATTAGCCAAGAGAGTGTCAGGTTCGTCCCCTTAAAAGAAACATTTATTAAGTCTATTGCATATGCTTATTGGCTTCATGTGTTAAACAGGGGGTTTAGAGAAGTCTAAACCTGGGCAAGGTCCTCTCTGTCTAATGCAAATTCCCTTATGTTTTTTTTACATTGGATGCTTTTTGCAATAAGTGTCCCCTGACCACTACTTTGTGTACCTCCCACAGGGTAACTGGGGGTTCTGTTTTGAGCAAAGTATTCTTTTCTGGCTGCTTGCATTGCAAATACATCGGGATAACTTAACAGAGATTGTCTTAAGATCCATGTGAAGTGTAATTGTGAGGGTGTTGAGTGTGACCAGGACATTATCATGGTCAGACCACAGTGTAGCATTGGAGAACAAGGGAAGGGAGGTGTACTAAACCTGGATATGGTCCATTTAAAAAAAAAATAATCTCATGGGTGGGAATAGTAAGAGAAGTTTTCCGTTAGTCGCCAGCAATTAATTAGGTTTTGCAGATGCAAGAGTCAAATGTAGATTTCTGGAGGCTCTGGGGAAGGAGAATCGAGGATCCTATCTAAATGCAGATAGAGGACCATATTGGCGTCTCCATTGAGGAATACATTTTCCCCTAGAGTGTGCAGAATCCAATTAAAGCAAATGGTTTATCAAATCTAGTAAATCTAGGCATAGGATTGTTGTTAGAAGTGCATTTCGTATGCATACAACATTTGCATGAAAGGATCTGAAGTGGTGAAAGGCCTTGGTGCAATTGTTGGGGTGGTTAAAGTCTTGCACATTGAGAGATGTGGGGTGTCTCAATGTACCAAATCACAGTGGCAATGGGGAAAGGAAGGGATAGGCCAAAAGAGAGAATAGCTAGTGACAAGGGGGAGAGAGGTGTGTGGAGAAAGAGGGAGGCAGAAAAGAAAGTGAATTATGGAACTAAGGTAGGAAAGAGTGAGGTAAGGGGAAAAGGTGGGATTGGAATTAAGGTGCTTGTATCACACAGAGATACAGCCAAGCTTCCTTGACACTAACTGAGCAGTCCTAGGAAGTTAAAAGGAGGAACAGAATAAACTACCTGGGATGCACACTTATAGCAACAATGTATAACGAACAACAGAAGGAACCCAGTATAAGTACATTAAAAGGAGAACTATGAGGTGAGTGCCGGCGTTCGCTCACCTCTCGATCCTGTCACGGCTCTCTGCCGTGACAGGGGAGGGGCTGGATTCCCTCAGAGACGCAGCTGGGCGCATCCCGGCACAATTGTCGGGATCCGCTTCAGCGTCTCAGTATACCGCGAGCTACAGCTCGTGGTATACTGAGCCTAGGGTGACGGGAGGATGCTAGTTTGTGTCCTCCCGTTACCCTAAGGAGAACTATGGGGAAAACCTCTGACCACATAGTTCTCCTTTAAGGATTAGGTTGGCCCTAAGGGAGGGTAGAAACATTACAGCTTCACATGGGATTAGGCGATATGAGTAGCATGATTGAAAGAGGAAGGGAGAGAACAAAGTGCTGATAAGCCACCATAGGTGCAACCATAGATTACCCAGTCCTCCGCCCCCTTCTGTCACAGGTGATTGATAAGCATGGGGGCAGCAGAGAAGGGGTCTGATACACAGGGTGGTAGGGAACAGCTAATAATGCAGCAAAAGAAAGAGTAACAACTTTTAATAAAATAACATTGTAGGAAAACAATGTAAAGGCATGTCCAGTCAAAACCAGTACTGGGGAGGGTATGGCAAGAGTCTTTTAATCCAGGGCTTTTGCACAGAACTGCAAATGGAACCACATGCTAATGACAAGTAAGGTCACAAGTGTTTGGTGAAAGCCACATTTAGCTCTTTATAAATAGAACCATAAGTGTTACTTTTTAACTGCAGTAACCCACAGCAACTAGAATGCATGAATTCTTAAGAACTTTTTCTTGTATAAAGCTGATCGCAACATTTAAAAGCACCTACAAATCATCATTTATACAAAGACCTCCACAGCAAATATTGCAGATTTTGACACCGTAAACCAGTTGACAATCCTCATACCAACTTTATTTCCACAGTTCCATCCTGCAGCACTGTTTTATATGGTCTACGGTTTAATATTTGTTTATACCATAAATCTCAGAACCACTAAATTTCTGTTTCACAAGAAAAAAAAGTCTCAGCAGGATATTTTCTGCAGTGAAGGTGTTTAGAAGACAAAGACCTTGAAAGAAAAGATTTGACAAGAAAGCACTGTAATAGCGTTATCCTCTGGAGGCAGCAGAGAAATAACACACATTATTTCTGCCTGATTGAGAGGCATAAAACAACTTGATAAAGTAATTCATTTGAACTTTTGCTGAGATACTAGTCTACTTTTTAAGATTGACAGAATTGTTGGAAAATCTTTGGCAACTGCTTACAGTCACAAACTGGTATTTGCTCTACTCAGGCAGATATGGTTGCATCAGAGAGAGAAAGCATTAAGATTGATTCTTGGTTGTCAAAATATATATATATATACACACACCAAAAGCTAGACCACTTCAGCTATTCCCTAAACAAATATATTGAAGCGAAGAAATATAAGTCAGAAATTCCTGCAAATCTGACACACAGCATTGGCAGTTTCTTCTCTTGTTATGAACTACCATTAATACTAAAAGGATTTTGGACTCAAGACCCTTTGTCTGGTGCTTTCATTAGACATTGTACACGTAGATGTTCGACTATAGCTCCTCTGTTTTAAAGTGCACCCCGCTGTTGGAGAGCAGCATTATAAGAGCTATTGGTGAGGCTACCTTAATCTGGTTCACCCATCGTTAAATTAAATACAGCGCATTCATTTCATTTATTCTGAACTATAAACAGAGTCTTTGACTGGTTCGCACCTTTGCAGTTTAAAACCAGTGCATTTTGGGTGTAATGCATTTTACATTTGTTTCGGGTGTTTTACATGCGTTACTAGGGCTGCAACAACGCATAGATTAAAATAGATTATAAATCAGTAAATCATCGATTGTTGATTCGATTAGTTAAATCCACAGCCACTCTGCTCCTCCGTTGTCCTCACCG